TTTAAGTTAAAAACAATCACTTAGTTCAGCTGCGATATCCTTGATTTAGTTATGTATATAAAATATATTTCACAGGTACAATATAATTTTGATATTTTCAAATGGTTAGTACTATTTTTTTTTCATTTTATCTGTCAAAAACTGATATTATATGAGGAAAGTATACGTGCAGTATGGTCTAATTATAATATGCACTATTTAATATTATTTTGAAAACACTAAGTGAGTAATTTATTCATTGTCGATACAAAAACAGTTTTTTTTATTCTTTTCTTTTACCTCGCAATATATATTTTATTTAATTTTTTCTTGGCTTTAGGTCAGGTAAAAATGAAAAAAACGGTTTTTTTATATTAAAAATTTCATTGACGTTTCGACCTGGTAGGGTCTTTATCAAAATTTATTACTTGAACGTAGATGTCGGTCGTTTTGTTTTAGTTTTTATTTTAATTTTTATTGTTTACTTATTACAATTTTATCATTTTCATTCTGAAATCTTAAGCGAAGAAAATAATCCAATATCCAACATTGGTTTCCACACACATAACATAAACATATCAATACAGTCGTCACAATTTTTGTAAAGAGACATACACATTTAATGGATTTTACAACATTTAATGGATTTTACAACATTTAATGGATTTTACAACACAGTGTATATTTACGGATAGTTCATTTTACTAATATATATATATATATATATATATATATATATATATATATATATATATATATATATATATATATATATATATATATATATATATATATATATATATATATATATATATATATATATATATATATATATATATATATATATATATATATATATATATATATATATATATTAGTAAAATGAACTATCCGTAAAATAAATTAAATCATGAATAGTATCACAAAATATTGTTGTGACTAAACTGTGAACAACCCTGATGCGTATTTGTGATTATGATTAAATGACTGTAACGAATAAAATGAAATTTAGAGGTAAAAAATCCCCTGGTATACCAAGTTCACATACGATCGTATATTTAATGTAATAAATTTTAATCAATCATAAACGCAATAAAATAAGAGATGATTAAAGTCTTATCTGTCATCCAGTGGTCGTTCCAGTCAGTCCATGAGAAAATCCAGGTGTCTGGTCTTAAGTATCCCAGTGGCATTCCTCGTCACAGTGGCATTCACGTCACAATGACATTAGTTGCAGTACCAAATCCAGTACAAAAAAAAATTGATAAAAATCTTAAGCTAAACCGTAATCATCACTAAGGAGTAGCCAAGGAACAAGAACCCTAAAATGTGATCTATTTTAGTGACACGTTCTAGTTTGGACATAGTTATGTTCATAATACCTTTCCACCATGCGGACCTTCTAAGACAAGATGGCGTCTCAACGCATGTTACTCCATGGAAAAGGGTTCCTTAACTGTCCTCGTACTCATCCCAGTACGCCCACGCACCCATCTACAGCTCCTGTCCTCTAAAATAAATAATTGTAGAAGAGAACCTTACACCTAAGAATGTCTCTTACCCAATCAACAAAGATATCCCTTTTCAAGGTTTTCCCCGGAATTCCAACTACACAGGCCAAGCTCAATTTCTTGCCAATCGGTCTTCTCGACTCTCAATGAATTCCAAGACCGTAATTCTACTGAACAATCCCAATATGGAACGGCGACCAGCCAAAATTTCACTAGAATTTCTTTCTTTTATTTTCGGCAGATATCAGAAGGCTTCCCCTGCTTTCACCAAGATGGTTCAAAGTCGAAAAAGGACGCGTGTTTGCAAAATCCGCAAAAGACGCTGGACTCCAAGATACCAACCCAAAGTCTAACACAGGCAACCAGTAAAACAAAAGACCCAAAATAAAATTTGACATAAAATTTTATTTAATGCATACGGATTGAGTGAAACATTTTATTACATCATAATAAAATTATAATAATCCCTATACGAACATAATATCTTCGGATCATATATAAAATCCGTTTAAAAAGATCGCAAACCTAATTTACAAAGATCCATCTGTCAAACTTCAACGACGGTGTCACACGATCGGCTGACAACAATTGAAACGTCAGTCTGTAAATCGTAATATAAACAAGATGAAATTTAGGGAAAAATCAACTATAATCAGGTAAAACCAATTGATTACACACAGGAAAAATACATAATAAAATCCTTAACCCATATGCATATTGTAGACCCAACATTCCCACTTGTTGCGTTGAAACAGACAAAAGATAATCACATCAAGTCTATGTTCAAGAATCCTCCGAAGAAATATGCCAAGAAAATATCCTAACACAAGCATAAGTCTAAATAAAGAATTAATAACCACTGTAGAAAGAAAGGTAGGTTTTAAACAGACAAAAAAATTGTTGTGGTGAAGAGATTTAATAGATAAGATATTATTAGAAGTTATATGTACAGTTAACTAATTAAACGTTATTATTCAAGTTATTCAAGTAAGTTTTAGTTTTATTCCTAAAAATAAGCAAAATAAGTAAAATAAGTTACGGTGAAAACAGTCGATGGAAAGCACTGCCAAATACCCCAAAAGTGGAACAACATATTTTAATTACTTGAAATATTATTCTACGGACTACAAGGGGTTGCCGATGCTAACAAGAAATTTATCACTATAGAAGTGGGTTCAAAGGGATCTGAAAGTGACGGTGGAGTTTATCAGTCTTCGACACTTTTATAACTTGTTAGAGACAAATCGACTGAATGTACCTCATGATAGAGCATTACCAAATTCTAATATTATTTTGCTAAATGTCATGATAGGGGATTAGGCCTACCCGCTAAAAACGTATCTAATGAGGCCATATCCACGACCAAGAAATGGAATTTTAGATGACGAAAAGCAAATTTTCAACGATCGTCTTTCACGTGCTCGAAAATGCATTGAAAATGCATTTGGCATACTATATCAAAGATTCAGAATATTGGATAGAAGTATTTTACTTAAACAATCAGTAGAGGGAGATGGCCGATTCTGCATCAGCCGCCCGGAGGAGGAGGAGGCGTCAGACGCAAATTAGGTAAAAACGGTTAAAATACGCTAACAAACAACTATATTTAACTGCTTTGAACCGCTTTTTAGCTTAAAACAACACATGTTTAAAATAGTACATGTTCCTAGTTAAGTTTTTTAACATTTAGTTTTTAATATATTTTTTTTTCTAAAGATTTACTTTATTTTTAATTTTTTGTATATATTTTTAAAAGGGACCTAACATATAAAACTTTAATGATTTACCGATATATTTTAAAGCATTTAAAGATTTACTTTATTTTTAATTTTTTATATATACATATTTTTAAAAGGGGACCTAACATAAAACTTTAATGATTTTCCGATATATTTTACATGACCTAAAGATTTACTTTATTTTTAATTTTTTTTATATATACATATTTTTAAAAGGGGACCTATCATATAAAACTTTATTTTTAATATTTAGTTTTTAATATATTTTTTTTTTCTAAAGATTTACTTTTTCATTTTTATATACAGGGTTGTTCACCACATACGACACGGAGTATTGTAGTTAAACGATTAGATTTTTACAAATTGTAAGTTTTGGGTTCGTTGAAGGACTATTAGAGCTACAATTTAAAAATATTTTTATAAGATACAGAGTGTCCCAAATAAATAAAAAATATCAAAGTTGTATTTTTTTAAATGGAACACCCTGTATATTATTACATTTTTAGTTTCTACGATTAAAATAAAGGTAATTTGATAACCATTTTTTACCTATCGCTTCAAGTTTCCGTAGAAAATGCATTTTCTTGTAATTTTAAATTCATTTATCAATATACCCATGGAATACTGACATTTTAGATTATTTTTAAAGATGTACCAAATTTGTAAAGAGTACAGATACTAATATTGTCGATATAGTTTGTTTATTTCATTAAAAAATAAAAAAAACTGTTTAAATATTTGTTATAGAGGACCAATTAATATGATTCCAGTATTCAAACTACATTAATTGACTGTTTGTGTTGATTAATAGTAATTGGTCCAAATATTAAAAAACTTAATTTTTTATGTGTATTAGACAGTGTGGTAAAAAGTAACACTTTAAAAATTATATTTCGTTTTTGGCAAATGCTTGTTTATAACAACAGAGACATCCATTTTTATAACTTATTATTATATTGATTTCTGATTCCAAATCCACATTTATTTAGAATAATTTATTAACGAACATAATTAAGTATGTAATTAATTAGTATTTGGGCGGAAATAATGGTGGTATATTTAATTAATGGTATATTCTTTTATAAAGATTTAAATAGTTTCTTTTTGCATACAAATGGGCTAGTAATATTATCATTTTGCTAAAAACGATAATATTACAAGCCCGTACATTTTGTACATTTGTTGCTTTAAAAACAACTTAAAATGTCAATATTCCATGGGTATTGGCGTTTCAAATTAAGATCGCAACGCCGCAGCGGCAGTTGATTGAACTACATCGTTATACATTATTTCCTAACCACAGTTTTTACGGTTTTTACTGTCGGCGTTTTTCGTGTTTTCCATATATTTTTGAAGATTTTTGGATATTTGGTGGTTTTTAGTGATTTATTGTATTTTTATTTTGATATTATAGTTTTCTTGTTCTTGTATTTGGATTAGTTTGCCATTAAATAGAGGTATGTATGTAAAATGCAAACATTTACAGAATTTGATTTTAATTGATCTATTTTAAGCCTTTCTACAAACCAAAATGGCTGAAAAGCCATTGAGTTTACTGGAATTTATTTCCTACATTGGTGGCAACGTTAATTCACGATGCTTGGTTGAAGGAGGAGAAGTAGTTAATGCTGGACACATAATATTGTATGGCAAAACTGATAGTACTCCAAAATCCATTAAAATATGTGCAGTTTGCTTACAAACTAGTGCATTGCAATCTGATCCCCATCAGATTAATGGGCAGATAGATATCATTAATGGATCTGCAAGAACTATACAAATGCAGTGTTCTTGTAAAGGAGGTGCTGGAGGGTGTTGTAAACATATTTCTGCATTTTTAATTCTTTTGACAAGGTGTGTATAATTAAAAAGAAAAATTATTAGGTCATATCATACTTATTTCTTGCTTATTTCCTTTTTTTTAGAAAAAACCTCTCCGAGCTAGAAAATATTTCCCAAACGGAGCTGAGTTGTGCATGGGCAAATGTAAAAGGTTCAGTAATAAAGAAGTATAAAGCTGTTTGTATCAATGAAATGCCTTGCATTAAACCAAATGTGGTACCTGCTATTACGGTGGACGAAGACATGAAGAAGACTATGCTTAACTTCTTTATTAAAAAACTCCCAAAATCAGCCATTGCCAAACATTTGTAAGTATAACAAGTATAACTTGTTTTTTAAGACTCATTTTTTTTCTCATTTTGAAGAGAAGGCCGTCAAACTGAAGGGGCATCAAATAATTTGGAAGGCAATGAAAATGATGTTGCTATACCATTCAATTTTACAATAATTATTGACAATGCTGCACAGTCAATTCTGATGATGATGTTAAGTTCATTGGAATACCAATTTTCTTTTCCCTGTTGTAAAGCTTTATATAGTACCATCTTAAATGACTCAGTATACAACACGGTAAGTTTATGCCAAAGTTGCACTGACTGGTACAATGCTCGCCAATTTCGCATTACTGGGTCAAGGTGTTACGAAATATATACTTATAGAGGACTGGATTGGGATACCAAATCAAAGAAATTCTATTGGCCAAAATCCTTTACCAATAAGTTTGTAAGACATGGCCTGAAGTACGAAAAAGATGCTAGAGCTGCTTTTATATCTCAAACAGGACATACTGTGATTGAATGCGGCATGATCATTTCTCCCCAAAACAAATGGCTTGGATTCTCTCCAGATGGCATAATTATTGATACCAATGGAAATCCAGTTGCTCTGTTAGAAATAAAATGCATATATTCAGGTAAAATCTGAGACAAATTAATAGAGAACAGTATTTTATACAATTTTAATTTTTGTAGGTTCATCAACTTCAATTGAAGATGCTATCCAGAGCTGCAGTTACATCACAAAGGAAAATGGAGTGTATCGTTTAAAAAAAAATCACAAATATTATGGTCAAGTGCAATTTGGCATGGCTATATTAAATGTTCCTAAATCCTATTTGGTTTTATATGCATCATTTGACATGTCCCTAGTAATTATTGATATTGAATATAATTTTGAATTTACTTGGGAAATGTTAAGTAAAGTAAAAACAAATTATTTTTCCAAAATGATACATGCTATTTGTGAAAGTAAGAGTGAATAAAATTTGAGTTTATGCTGTACCTAATATACAGGGTGCTACAAATTCGAGGTACGAGCATTGGTATCTCGTATCTCTATATATATATCTCTATAACCGTATTAGATACGAAGATGGTTAAATTGGGGCAAAGTTGCGCTTTGGGATGTTCACCAAGATACCATCAAAAAAGTTTTAAAAATATCAAGGATTGCTGAGTTTTTTGAAAAAAACGGATTTTTTTGAAAATCAATTTTATTTTTTTCTGTCGTTGCATTTTAGAAAATCAAAAAACTAATTGCACATTCTCATTGCCACTTTATTAGGGCTATCTGATAGTATTTTTATATTTTCAAATTAGCTGATAATTTGTAAGATACAGAGGCCAACTTAATTTTTTTAATAACGGACCTGCATTTTTTATTTCAGGTTATGAAAGAACGCGGTCTCCTGAGTACAATGATATGCCACACTTAATATTTTTTTTTGTTTTGGACATTTGAGCACAATTTATTTAAACTAATTTCAAGTCCGGCTCTGTTTTTTTAATTATTTAATCTATTCATCGTCCCAATATTGATAAGCCTGCAAACTTAACAATGACGTGAGGTAAACATTGAATACGGAAAATCAAATGCAATGACATGAGAGATACGGAAAATCAAATAGCATGACACGAGAAACAAAAATAATATTGTACCCGCTTACTACAGACTGAGGAGGTGTCAGAGTGGCCCGGATTACTGGGGTGTTAGATTCTTTAATGTACTGCCTGTGGCTATAAAAAATTATCAGAAAGTAAATTTAAGGATAGGGTGAAACAACCAGGAAACAACTTTTAATTGAAAATGGTTTCTATAGTTATGATGATTTTATTAAACATGGATTTTAGACAATAAAAAATAATTTTAGACAAAGAAATTTTAAAGTGTAAACTGTTGTATCATGTTAATTGTATAGAGTTAAGGTTTTAAGTGTGTCTATGTACATGTGTAAACTTTGATTGTCTTATTTGTATTTTAATTATTTTATTGACGATTGTAAATGCTGCTGTGTATATTAACATAATAAATTTGATTTAACTAATTTATAATAACTACATTTTACAAATAAATACCTAGATAGATCAAACTTAAAAAAAATGATATCCATCAATATTAAAATCTTCCATCAGAAAGAATAGATGTTGATTGGTTAGTAATTCCACAAATGATTGTAAAAATTTGTTCAATTTTAGAAACAAGGGACCATTGTAGTTTTCCACTTATAATTTTAAAAACTTTTAGTCCCTGATTTGACCTCTCAATGTGCACTCTGGCCGAGGCTATTTCTCGATTTTTAAGAGCCTCCGCAGGTGAGAGTTGTGTCTTATTACGCAAAAAAGGAGGCCTGATCAATTTAATTTTGTACATAGAACACAAATCATCGATTAAAAAACCTTTATCCACCATTATTGCATCTCTGTTTGGAGATAATAATTTTATTAAATCACTTTCTTCAAATATTAGTTTATCTGATGCTCTACCTCCATAAGCTTTACTAATAAATGTGATAGTCCCTGCAGGAGCAACCCCAGTCATAAATTTAATAGTAGTATTTTTTTTATAATGAGAATAAAATTTAATCCGGCAACATAAGCAGCTCGGTTTTTGAATGAATAATTCTATACAATCTAATACGATCCTACAGTTACTAAAATTTTTAAAACACTTGGACATATTTTTGGACACTTCCTCACCAGTTGGAAAATAAATACATACTTGTAACACTGCACTCAATACATTTAAAAATTCATGAAAATATGTTTTACAAAGCTGTCCAGAAATGTTAAAAAGCCGGCCTAATGTAACATAAGTTAAATCAAGTTTTAATTTTGTCATAGTTAACATAATCCTACTTTTTACATCCAGTCGATGTGTTCTAGTATCATGATGTATTAACTTTGTCATTTCTACAAGGCTGTCCAATATTTGGAAATTATTAATCCCTGTAAAACTTCTCAAGGCACTGTCTGTTTTTATTAAATCACAAAGAGTGGAGTATTTGTCTGTATCCACTTGAACTGATTCATCCAACATTTTTATATTTTCTTTTTCCTGCGCACTATTTATTTCAGCTTGAGAAATATCCTGACCTGCACCAGTATTCTTATGTAGCAACATCAGTAAAGCCTCTGCAGTTCGAAGCTCTTCCTCAGAAGGATTTTTTTCTTGCTCTTCATTTTCACACAAAGCTTCAGGATGCACATTGATTTCAGATCTTATTTTGTACCTATCTGAATGGCTGGTAGACAGTCTAGTTGTAGAAGGCACAGTGAGAATGGGCATACGTTGTGATGGTATAGCAATATTTTTAAGTATGCGACCTTTTCCTGTTCTTCTCCCTATAAGTAAAACAAATATTGCTAATTTTACAATTTGTTTTTCCGAACCACTGGCTATAACTTAACTTTACTAACATAATCTTCTTTAGTAAAATGAAGAGAACAAACTTTCATAAACTTTGATACTGGTTTCCCAATACGTAACTTTAATATCCATGCTCTTCTTCTGTCAATCAACTCTTTTCCTAAATTAGTTTCATACCAAACTTTCTGAACATTTTCTGTAGGAAAGCGGTGGAAAGTTAAATCTTTGGTGATATCTTTCTTACTCCATGATTTACATTGGGGAACACAACAATAATAATTTGATTTTGTTGAGGACATTTTGTCCAATTTGACCAGATACAAACATGAACACACTCGCAAACTAACAACAAAATAACAATAGTATTTACAAATACTACCAAACAACAATAATTTTATAGTAATAGCCACAAAAAACTCAAAAATTCGCCGATATAAAACGTAAACCACATTTGTAAATCGTACGTAAAATAACGTAAACAAATCGATAATCTATAACGATGTAGTTCAAAAAAATGCCACCAGGTAGCGTATCGCTTGTCTTGAATTGCCAATATTGATAAATGAGGTCTAAATTATAAGAAAATGCATTTTCTACGGAAACTTGAAGGGATGGGTAAAAAGTGGTATAATACAATTTGATAGACAATTAAATTATGCATCTGATTCTCCTAAAATATACAGGGCGTTCCATTTAAATTAAAGAAGTTATTGCCGTTTAAAGCTAGTAATTATTTAAAATAAAATTTTAGGCCCTCTGTATAAGGTAGTATAATTTTTATTATTGCAACACAATAACTGATCAATAAATAAACTTCAGTAAATATTTCGTGTTAAACACTTTGTTACCCTTGGAGAAATGAAGCCTTATAATTTTGACTGCAATTTCACAAAATTGAAAATATTTCAAGAACGGTAAGGTTTAAGTGTAATAAACCTTAATCAAATTTACCTTTATTTTAATCGTAGAAACTAAAAATGTAATAATATACAGGGTGTTGCCTTTAAAAAATACAACTTTGATATTTTTTATTAAGAAAAGAAAAATAAATTGGGATGAAGTGGGGGTGAAACTAACAGATATATACATATAACAAAAGTAAGTATGTACCCCTTTAGAGAATAATCGAGTAAAAGCGAAAAAAAAAACGTTTTTCATGAGCATAATAATTACAGATTGTTTAGGCTCATGTGTAAGAATTCGACTTGTAAAAAATCCTAAAATAATTCTTCCTCTTCACACTTACCCTCCCGCTTATATTATTTTCTTAATAAATAATGTCTTTAGAAGCATCATTGACAACTTATATTGCTTCTTCTACGTCCATTGTTTCTTTTGCTTTGTCTTCCTCTACTTCTCTGAGTTTTTCTACTTCATCTGTGATGATAATTAATGATCGCATATCCGGATCATCAATGGTTCTTAATTTTATTTTACTGCAATTAAACGCACTAAGTAAGGGTCAGAACTAAGAATACGCCTGTGAAATAAATCTTCCTTGACCTTTGTTCCACTAATTTTTTGAGTATGTCCTTGCCGATATTTCCTAATATCCTTATTTTTCAGTTCTTGGACCTCTTCTGAAAGTTCTCCTATGTAACAAGGCGTTTTGAATAATAATCGGTCCATGAATTAATAATTTGTGCACGGATATTGGCATGTAGTACCAGTTGTACAAGCCAACATAACATTCTGCTGTTTTCAAGCAATATTGCTCAAAATTATGTAAATTTATGTCATAACCACTATTGATGGTGCGTAATATTACACCAAAGCGTCTTATCAGCTCTTCGTCTATACCTGACAAGAAAAATAATACAAACTTGAATATAATTATTTCGACACTGAAAGGAAATTAAAATTAACCTGTTATTTCCGAAAACAATGTCGGATTCGCAAAAAATCGTCTGGCCATGTAACCATCATTTGTGGTTCCAAATCCTGATTTAGGAATGTCTACGGAGAGACCCATTTTATTTTTAAATTCGGCTTGAACTGTTCGTTTCTTTCTTTCAAACGGTTCTTTATTTTCCTTTGTTACCTGAAAATATCAATTATATGACTGAATTCCAATTAATTAAATAATTTATTTACTTTCCACACCTTCAGTTCTAGCCTATATGCTATATGCAGCAAACATTTGAAACATCTAATGTATGCCTGCAATACAGACAAACCAAACTGAAGAGATTCGTTGTCAATGTGTCTCGAACGAGCAGACGCAATATCGTTCATTTTTGAAATTGTTGCATTACATATGGGACATGTCATACTTGACGTTTTACACAGAGCACTACAGACCTATAAAATTATGTTTTAATATAAAATTAAAAATAATAAAAAAATTAGTGTGCCTTGCCATCCACCATTGTTAAACACAAATTAGAATCAATTTTGCCGACCACTGAATGAACTGGAGTCAAATTTCTAATCTGGTCAGTTATAAAATTTTGTTCCTGTCTAGAAATTTCGTCGGTTTCATGAAGCCACTGCAGTCTGATTGGCCGACAATAGCGTTTTGATAAAGGCTGAGGGTTTTTCCAAATCACTTCTTTTGATTGTTGGTCTATAAGACTTAAGGGTACCAAGGACGTGGTAAATAAACTTTCCTCCGCACGTGGTCGTGTGACGGATTTATCTTTTTTTTTTAATTTTTTTTTATTTATATATATTTTTTTTTATTTATCTCTTGACGGATTTGTTTATAGCTTGAATATCCAGTGCTTCCATCAAACCCCCATTTGGAAATTAAAGTGAAGCAGCGATTTCCGTCGTGATTTATTTCGCATGGAATTCTTTTCACAATACTGTGACATGTTTGTGTTAATAAATCTTGTAGGGGCACTTCACACTTTTGTTCCGTTATTGAAATATTTTCGGGGTAAAATTCTTTTTTTGAATCGAGTATTTTATAATACGGTGGGTACAAATCGTAGGGGAAGTGGGGGATACTTGATCACTGTTTTATATTTCCATGTCAAAAAGCAATAATTTTTTTTTAAATAATTGAACAAAGGCTAACATACAACTCTACCAACAGTTATCTAAATATTTTTGGCAAATTTAAAACCATTTGAGTGTTCTTAAGTAAAAAAAATGTGTTTTTTAATCTGTTGCATATACATACAGGGTTGTTCACCACATACGACACGGAGTATTGTAGCTAAACGATGAGATTTTTACAAATTTTAAGTTTTGGGTTCGCTGAAGGACTGTTAGAGGTACAATTTAAAAATAATTTTACAAGATACAGAGTGTCCCAAATAAGTAAAAAATATCAAAGTTGTATTTTTTTAAATGGAACACCCTGTATATTATTACATTTTTAGTTTCTACGATTAAAATAAAGGTAAATTTGATTAAGGTTTATTATACTTAAACCTTACCGTTTTTGAAATATTTTCAATTTTGTGAAATTGCAGTAAAAATTTTAAGGCTTCATTTCTCCAAGGGTATCAAAGTTTTTAATACTAAATATTTACTGAAGTTTATTTACTGATCAGTTATTGTGTTGCAATAATAAAAATAATACTACCTTATACAGAGTGTCTAAAAATTTATTTTAAATAATTATTAGCTTGAAACGGCAATAACTTGTTTAATTTAAATGGAACACCCTCTATATTTTACGAGAATCAGATGCACAATTTAATTGTCTATCAAATTATATTATACCATTTTTTACCTATCTCTTTAAGTTTCCGTAGAAAATGCATTTTCTTGTAATTTAGAACTTATTTATCAATATACCCATGGACTATTGACATTTTAGATTATTTTTAAAGATGTACCAAATTTTTAAAGAGTACAGATACTAATATTGTCGATATAATTCGTTTATTTCATTAAAAAATAAAAAAAAAACTGTTTAAATATTTGTTAAAGAGGATCAATTAATATGATTCCAGTATTCAAACTACATTAACCGACTGTTTGCGTTGATTAATAATAATTGCTCCAAATACTAAAAAACTGAATTTTGTATGGGCATTAGACAGTGTGATAAAAAGTAACACCTTAAAAATGATATTTCATTTTTTAATAAATGCTTATTTATAACAACAGAGACTTTAATTTGAGAACTTATTATTATATTGATTTCTGACTCAAATCCACATTTATTTATAATAATTTATTAACGAACACAATTAAGTATGTAATTAATTAGTATATGGGCGGAAATAATGGTGTTATATTTAATTAATGGTATACCCTTTTATAAAGATTTAAATAGTTTTCTTTTTGCATACAAATGGGCTAGTAATATTATTGTTTTGCTAAAAACGATAATATTACTAGTCTGTACATTTTGTACATTTGTTGCTTTAAAAACAATCTAAAATGTCAATATTCCATGGATATATTGATAAATGAGGTCTACATTAAAAGATGCATTTTCTACGAAAACTTGAAGGGATAGGTAAAAAATGGTATAATACAATTTGATAGACAATTTAATTGTGCATCTGATTCTCCTAAAATATACAGGGCATTCCATTTAAATTAAAGAAGTTATTGCCGTTTGAAGATAATAATTATTTAAAATAAATTTTTAGACACTCTGTATAAGGTAGTATTATTTTTATTATTGCAACACAATAACTGTCTTCATAATCAATTCTCTATCTCTATATATAGTTATAAATAAACTTCATTAAATATTTAGTATTAAAAACATTGATACCCTTGGAGGGAGCTTTAAAATTTTTACTGCAATTTTACAAAATTGAAAATATTTCAAAAACGGTAAGGTTTAAGTATAATAAACCTTAATCAAATTTACCTTTATTTTTATCGTAGAAACTAAAAATGTAATAATATACAGGGTGTTCCATTTAAAAAATACAACGTAGCTGGCGCCAGTATCACTGGCACGCCAATCTTCTACTGGCTGCCAGTGAGACCATTGGCGCCAGTTACTGGATCTCTTAACCGTATCCGGTAGCTGGCGCCAATATCACCGGCACGCCAGTCCTCCACTGGCTACCAGTGAGACCAGTGACGCTAATGACGCCAGTGACGCCAGTAACGCCAGTGACACCAGTGACGCCAGTTACTGGATCTCTATACACGTATCCAGTAGCTGGCGCCAGTATCACCGGCACGCTAGTCTTCCACTGGCTTCCAGTGAGGCCATTGGCGCCAGTTACTGGATCTCTTAAACATATCCAGTAGCTGGCGCCAGTATAAATGGCACGCCAGTCTTCCACTGGCTTCCAGTGAGACCAGTAACGCCAGTGACGCCAGTGATATGCCAGTTACGCCAGTGATGCCAGTGATGCCAGTAAGGCCAGCCAAGCCAGTGACGCCAGTGACACTAGTTACTGGATCTCTATACACGTATCCAGTAGCTGGCGCCAGTTATACATGTGTAGTGGCGCCTGTGACGCCTATGTATATGAGAGACCATTGGCGCCAGTTACTGGATCTCTTAAACGTATCCAGTAGCTGGCGCCAGTATAACTAGCACGCCAGTCTTCCACTGGCTTCCAGTGAGGCCATTGGCGCCAGTTACTGGATCTCTTAAACGTATCTTTTAATAAACACTTTTAAATATTGCAGTAAATAGTGAAAATAAATATAGAGCGATATATGTTTTTGAGAAGCTTATGGCAAGCCAAATCATATAATTTATAAATATACAGGGTGTTCCATTTAAAAAACATAACTTTAGTTCATATCTTCGAAAATATTATTTTCGTAGAATAACAGACCACTCCACTGTATTCTCCGTAAAAATTTCTACAATAAACAATTTTCAACTGAGAGATACGAGGGGTATCCCAAATTGCCCAATTCAGTGAAACCATTGGCGCCAGTTACTGGATCTCTTAAACGTATCCAGTAGCTGGCGCCAGTATCACCGGCACGCCAGTCTTCCACTGGCTTCCAGTGAGACCAGTGACGCCAGTGACACTAGTTACTGGATCCTCTATACACGTATCCAGTAGTTGGCGCCAGTTATACGTTTGTAGTGGCGCCAGTGACGCTAGTGAGGCCAGTGATGCCAGTGACGCCAGTGACGCCAATGAGGCCAATGATGCCAGTGACGTCAGTGACGCCAGTGACGCCAGTGATGCCAGTGACGCCAGTGATACCAGTTATACCAGTGATGCCAGCGACGCCAGTAGCGCCAGTGACCCCAGTGACGCCAGTGACGCTAGTGAGACCAGTTACTGGATCTCTATACACGTATCCAGTAGGTGGCGCCATATACGCATTCCATAAGTATCAGTTTATTAGAGGTGGTTGGGAAATATTCAACAAATTTTAAAACGCAGCTATAGGTATTGAATTTCTATGACGAATTTCTATGACTGTTTTTATAGGCGTGTCTGTTAAAATTGCTGACTTCAACTTTTTCCTTCCTTTTCTATATGTTTTTCGTGGCCCTGCTGTTGGAAATGGTAAAACTTGCACAGAACTTTCAAGGAAATTCGTGGACTTTGACGTAAATGATTCATTTGAACCAGCTGGTTGAATATTCAGTCTTTATTCTTGTAGATTAAAGCTTAAGGTACTAGTTGTTGGATTGGTCGGAGTCTGATATTGTACAAATTGTTCATCGGGCCGATCGCTTACGAAAGATGAAAGAAACTTTGACGTACGTAACAAAATGACAGAGGAATAAATAAAAAGTTTCAGCTGACATTCAATCAGATGAGTTCGCGGCTCCACCTGATCCTTGAGACGCACCAGAAGCATAAATGGTTTAAAATTCACTTGTGGGAAAACGAAAAATGGTGGAACACTTCGACCAGCAGCACTAATTGCAGAACAGACTGTAACAAGCTACCTCTTTCTGCTGAAGTAACTTGTCCTACTTGCCTTTGTCCTTTCGCTGCAATTATTTTCTTCGGCTTTTGTACCGTTGTACATCCTGTTTCGTCTACATTCCAAATTTCATGTTCTGAAAATTGTTCCCTGTCCAAAATCGTTTTCAAATTTTCAAAAAAACAACCCACATTATGTTTATTGAAACTAGTAGCTCTGCTAAGGGTAGTAGCTTCGGGAGTTCTTAAAGAAAGAGATTTATTGCGATACATAAAACCTTGTACCCAATCAAGACTGGCTATTTTATTTTCATCCCATTTTTTAGGTCTTGAAATATTGTTTTTTATGGCAAATTTTTATGCCAGTTCCCTTATTTTCCGTAATGTAAGTCCATGATTAATTTTTGAATAACAAATAAGTGACGTCAGTGATGCCAGTGAGCCAAAATTAAAAAAAAATAAAATAAAAAAATCATATTTTTAGACTGTATTGACCAATATAATATTTTTAAACGGTTAATAATTTATAGACATCTCCAAATTAGACGATGATTTTACTATTAAAATGACTTTCAGGACGTCATTTCCTTGAAGTTTAAGGGTCTGTATTTTTTATCTGGATTTTCGGATATAATTAATTTTTCGTCACAAGTTAATCTGATATCCGTTGACCATAATTTGTGAATTTCAACGTCAAAAAAAAGGTAAAAAATTTAGGTTAAGATCGATAATTGCCCAGTGTGTACCACTGTGCGACAGCTTTTTTGAGACGATCCTTGCCCAAAGAAATTCAAGGCACATGAAACCTGTGAAAAAAGTAGAATATTTCAGCTATATAACTTGCAGTAGATTACTCGATATTACTCATCTTAAGATTGGAACTATTGGGACTCCTAGTTCTCTCAGGCTCATGTAAGAAAGGCGGAAGTTCTTCTATTACTATG